ACTACTAGATTGAAAGTTATAAAGAACATTACTATGCAATGGGGAAAATTCAAATATAGACTGTACAATAAATAAGAATATTGAATGAATGTTAAATGTCCTCAGTATGGTAATTATATCGTGACTTTATGAGAGGATATTCTCAAGAGACACATACCAAGCACTGTATTTGTGGGTATAGTATGAAATCTGTAGGTGACTATCAAATGAATTTGCAAAAAAAAAAAAAAGCGTATATAGTGTGAAAAAATATGTGTCAAAAGCTAACAATTTGTAAATGCAAATACCATTAAAGGATTGTTTTAAAAGGAAAATTTCTTTTCCTAACCAGAACCGAAATACATACATTTGTTTTGTTTGTTATTCCTCACCAAGGATATGTTTTTATTGAGAGACAGACATTAATCAACTGCCTCCCACACCCACCGTAACTAAGGATAGAACCCACAACCTAAGTTATGTGCCCTTTACCAGAAATCAAACCCACAACCATTTGGTGTACAAAAAGATGCTCCAATCAACTAAGCCACCAGGCAGGGCCACATTTTTCTGCTTTTACGGAAGCAACTAAACATTATTTTTAAGATTATCGGTTGGAAAAAATAGAACATTACACAGGGTGGGGCAAAAGTAGGTTTATAGTTGTGAGTACATGAAACATGTTTACTCTTGTATTATTTAATTATTGTATTATTTTCTATATAAACAACTGTAAACTAATTTTGTCCTACCCTGTATTTAATTTAACCTGCAATATATCTTTTTAAAAATTTTAAAAACTAGACAGAGAAAAATTTAACTAGCGAGGACCTATCATTCCTGTGCAGTTCCAGGACATGAACATCTCTAATGATCTAGATGTGATTCTAATGTTTAACAATGTGGACATACTATTACTATCACAGATAAAAATGTTTAACCTTCCTTTCTCCACCATTTTCTGCCTCTTGTAATTCCAAATAGCATAAATACATACTTTATACATACTTTTGCATAATATGTTAATAATTATGTATACTGTACACGGGCCAACTCTCTAACCGCTGAGCCAAACCGGCCAGGGCCAAGGTGTCTACATTTAGAAACTAAATCCCTATGATATCTTTCCTAAAAATCACTTGTATTTTCTCAGGTATCTGCAATTTAGTCAGTTTATCAATAAATTACCTAGTAAGTACCAAGACTGCACTTGGAAACAGGAATACAAGGTTAAACAAAATAATCCCTAAACTGTTCTAAGAAACAAAAACGAGTAACCAAAATAATCATTTCAAGAGTTACGGGAAAAAATAACAGAGGTAGACCACTTTTTTTTTTTTTTTTTTTGCACTTATCTTCAGATAGAGCGGGAGGGAGAGAGGGGGGAAGAGAGAGAGAGAGATACATCGATATGAGAGACACATCGACTGGTTGCCACCCACAAGACTCCAACCAGGGCCGGGGACAAACTGTAACCAAGGTATGTGCCCTTAGCGGGAACCAAACCAGGAATTCTCTGGTCCGCAGGCTGATGCGCTAACAGCTAAGCCAAACCGGCTAGGACGGGAGCCCACTTTAGATAAGGCATTCAAGAAATCCTCTCCATGAAGTGATATTTCGGCTGAGACTCACTAATCAAACAGCAGGGAAAACAACATCCTGAGTTCCATGAGAAGGTTTAACAAACAACAAAGTTCCTAAGCACAGAGTCTACAGCCAAGAATAAACCACTACACCTATTGCACAATATAAAAAGCAAGAATTTAGCATCATCCTGTCCAGTGTGGCTCAGTTGGAGTGTCATCCCATGCACCAGGAGGTGGCCGGTTTGATTCCATGTCAGGACATATGACTGGATTGTGGCTAGATGCCCAGTAGGGGGCATGCAGGAGGCGGCCCATGAATGAGTTTCTCTTTCCCATTCCTTTGCTCTCTCTGAAATCAATAAAAACATATTTAATATTCTTTTCCTTTATTGATTTTAGAGAGAGAAGGTGAGGAAGAGATAGAAATATTGATAAGAGAGAACATCGATTGGCTACCTCCTGCACAACCCTCACTGGGGATTGGCCCTACAATCTGGGCATGTGCCCTGACCAGAATCGAACAAGCAACCTCTAAGTGCATGGGTTGATGCTTAACCACTGAGCCACACCGGCCGGGCACATGTTTTTGTTTTTTAATTTGTAAAAAAAATAAAAATTAAAAAAAAAAAAGAAGAATTTAGCATCAGCCTAAACCACCATTTATTAGCTGTGCAATCTTAAGCAAATTACTTAACTTTCTGGGCCAATTTTCTCACCTGATACATGGGATAAATAATAACCAGTGTTGTTATGGAAATAAAGCAGATCATGATTATGAAATATCTGACAGATAATAAAATATTCAACACCTTGCCCATTCCATTAAAATTGTTTTTAAATTATTCTAAAAGCTCCCTGTAAGAAATGGTTAAATATTTACCAATGCCTAACTCTGACTTTAAAAAACACAAGTTAACCATAGCAGCAGTGGAAAATATTAATCACATGCCTTGCCTATTGCTTTCATTCCTTCCCTTATTCATTCAATAAATAATTATTATAAGCTTATTATGTGATCAGGAATTATTAGAATACAGGTGCTGGGATTATAGTGTTGAATAAAATTAAGTCCCTGCCTTTGTGGAGCTTACATTTTGCTGCAAAGAGAGACATACAAATTAAAGGAGTAAATGCTCTAAAAATAAAAGACAGTAAAGCATCAGTGATGGCAGAGGGGATGCTATTTTAATGTAAAACTGTCGGTTTCTCTGAGGAGATAAGATCTTAGCAAAATGTGAAAAAAAGTAGACGAGCAAGACCTGTCAGGATGTGGAGAAAATTCTCTAAGGAAAGGAAACAAGACCAAAGTCTCTGAGAACAAGGTGGCAGTGTTGTAAAACATCAGACATAGCACAAATGCTTAAACATCTAAAACAAACTGAACAATGCTTTACAATTCACCAAACTGGTGGTTGGGCCAGGAAACAATTTTTTTACACTGTCTTTGTATCCAATTCCCCAAACCCTAAAACAGTTGAATGATCCCAACCAATAGCACAGCCAAGTACAAGAGGTGGGCAGTTTCAGAGATAAAAGGAATGAATGCAATAATCAAAAGCATTTACACCAAATCTAGTGTGTACACTAAGGATAAATATCAAGAACTTCTTCATGGGCAAACTGAAAGGAAAGGCATGTTAATATGGCAACAGGTTTAATGACTATTTTAATTACATAAAATTATTTTTCAGTAAATGAAGAGATATATACCACACTCAAAGACTGAAAAAAGTCAATACTGTGAAGATGTCAGTTTTTCCCAAATGAGCGGTAGACTCAATACAATTCCAATCAAAAGCCTAGCAGAGTAGCCCTGGCCCATTTGGTTCAGCGGTTAGAGCATCAGCCTGCAGACCAAAGAGTCTCAGGTTCAATTCTGGTCAAGGGCACGTACCTCGGTTGCTGTTTGTCCCCACCTCTGGTTGGGGTCATGTGGGAGGCAACCAGTCAATGTGTCTCTCTCACATCGATGATTCTCTCTCTCCTGTCTCTTTCTCTACCTCTCCCTTCCACTCTACCTGAAGACAAATAGAAAAATATCATCCGGTGAGGATTTAAAAAGAAAACATGAAAAATGCTTTCCTACCTACCTTAGAAAAGGCAGATTTCACATAAGGAAGGATACAAAAAGCACAAACCATGAAGTAAAAAATTAAATTAGACTTTACAAAATATAAAAATGCCTGCTCTTTGTAGAACACTATGAAGAAAACTAAAAACCCACAGACTGTAAAATAGTCATAATACGCACATATCTATACCCCAATTTGTTAATGTGGTAAAACAAACTACCCAATTAAAAACCAGACAAAAGTCCAGCCAGTGTTGCTCAGTAATTGAGCATTGACCCATGCACCAAGAGGTCACCGGTTCCATTTCCAGTCAGGACACTTGCTCAGATTGTGGGCCCAATCCCCAGTGGGGGGCATGCAGGAAGGAGGCCAGTAGGTGTTCTCTCTCATGGATGTTCCTCTCTCTCTCCTTTCCTCTCTCTCTAAAAATCAATAAAGAAAAAATAATTAAAAAAAAAAAAGGCAAAAACTTTCAACATACTTCACAAAAGATATAAGGAGCACATACTTATGATTTCATTTATATGAAATATTAGTAACAGCAAAATAAATGTCTAAGACAGGGATAAGCGGTGGTACATAAATGCAAAAAGACACAAAGAACTTTTGTTGGATGATGGAAATGTTCTTTAACTTGATTATAGTGGGATATTGTATGAATACGCATGATTTGTTAAAACCAACTGATTTAAAATTGAATGCATTTTAATTTTAATGTAAATTTTACCTCAATAAAGTTGATTAAAATGTCACTAATTCATTATTTAAATACAGACAGACCTTGTTTTATTGCATTTCAGATATTGTTTTTTGACAAATTGAAGGTTGGTGGCAACCCTGTGTCGAGTAGTCTATCATCAGTGCCTTTTTCCAACAGCATTTGCTGTTTTTAGCAATAAAGTATTTTTAAATTAAAGTATGTACATTTTTTAGACATAATGCTATTGTACACTTTATAGACTACAATATAGTGTAAACATAACTTTCACATACACTGGGAAACCAAAATATTCATGAGACTTGCTTTATCACCATTTTTGCTTTATTACAGTGGTTTGAAACGTAACCCTAAATATCTCCTGTATAAAATTTTGCTTTACATATAGCACGTGTTTGGTAAGTTAAATGAAAATCAGAATACGAAACATTCCTGACATTCAAGTATTGAATCAATATGCTCAAGTTAGAAGTATGACATCAATTCCCAGAGGTACACAAAAATTCCTTATTTATATTCACTAAGTATTTACTCAACACCTACTTACCATATGGCAAGACAGTATGAACTACAAGGAAAGACAGAAATCCAGAACAAAGAGAAATGTGTATCTGCCTAGAAAATTACAAGATGTTTAAAACTTACGTTGTTAGCAAGAACGCCCCATCACCACATCTTTCCAGAGCCTTTCGTGCAGGAGGTTTTGCTGCAAATTCTACAAAACCCTTTCCAGTAGCTCTACCGCGATCATCCACAACCACAACAGCTTTCTCTACTGGACCAAACTGGGAAAATGCTTGCTCTAGAAGCTCATTGGAAACAACTGGAGAAAGGTTCTTGACAGTTAGGGCTGCTCCATGTGTAGCAAAGCGAATTCGGAGAGGTCTGCTCTTCAAAATGGTGCCATCCAGCTCTGCTTTTGCAATTTCAGCCAGTGTTCTGGATTCCTTTTTAGGAGGAAAAATCACTTTTTAAAGATGATATCAACATAAAATATTTAAAATAGTTGTTTATTTCTAGGGAGACTCGCTGGGTAGCTTTAAAAAATGACTAATAGAATTTGTGTCTTTCAACTTTGGCATCACATGCATTTTATTAATTATTCAAAGGTAAGTAATTTTAAACATTCTAGAAAGTCCCAACCCCAAAGTCCTATTAAAAACCATCACTTAAAAATTATCTGCTCTTACACAAATTATAAACTATTAAATACTCCAAGCAATATCTTCTCAAATCTACATATATTAAAAGAAATAATTACTTTTCAAAACCAAGTACCAGTTACTGGAAACTGTTGTTGAAAACTAAATTCTCTATGAACTCCATGTTTTTGATATATTATATTGATTTTTTATCAATATAAGGAGAGGGAGAAAGAGAAGCATCGATCAGCTGCCTCCTGCATACCCCCTGCCCCTCTACCGGGGACCCACAGCAGAAACCTTGGCATGTGGCCTGACTAGGAATCAAACCAGCCAACTTTCAGTACTCAGGAGGAAGTCCAACCAACTAAGCCACACCGGTCAGGGCAATGCTTATTTATCTTAATAAAACATCCCACCTCTATGCCCTGGCTGATTTGACTCAGCGGTTAGAGAGTCGGCCTGTAGACCAAAGAGTCACAGGTTCGATTCTGGTCAAGGGCACATACACTTTGGTTGTGGTTCAGTTCCGGCCCTGGTCCAGGTCATGTGGGAGGTAACCAATCTGTGTCTCTCTTCCTCCCTCTCTCTCCCTCCCTCCCTTCTACCCTTCCACTCTATCTGAAAATAAATGAAAAAATAACCTTGGGTGAGGATTAAAAAATCCCACCTCTCCAATGTCAGACAAATCCTCTTTTCTTTTTAATTCCATTTCTTTTACATTATCTGTGAAAACGATCAGGTGATAGGTGATGTTCATCACTTCTCCAGAAATACTTTCATGGACTACACATTTCCCACCATTATACTGAGAGAATACACACACACACACACACACACACATTCATGGGCTGTAAGAATTTTCTCCATTTCACAGAGAAGCAAGTGCACATGCACATATTAGAAAATACATTCATTGCCCTGGCCGGTTTGGCTCAGCGGTAAGAGCGTCCACCTGTGGTCCAGAGAGACCCGGGTTCGGTTCCCGCTAAGGGCACGTACCTCGGTTGCAGTTTGTCCCCGGCCCTGGTTGGTCATGCGGGTGGCAGCCACTCCATGTGTCCCTTTCGCATCGATGTTTCTCTCTCTCTCTCTTCCTCTCTCTCCCTCCCACTCTATCTGTACAAAAAATGGAAAAATGTCCTCGGGTGAGGATAAAAAGAAAATACGTTCATTGCTAAAATCACAAGATAAGAGATGCCCCCTTCTTGAAGAATTCAAAGCTGGTATAGCATATAGGCATCTAAAAAAACAACTGGTAAATTTAATAATATAAGTATGTTTTTATCTTTGTGTCGTTAGGAACTCTCCAGAGAGACTGAAAAGAGTTTTATATACATGTGTAAGAAGAGTACAAATATACTATCTTATGAAAAAAGTCTTAAGGTCACAAGAGCTTTTTATTCAATCCCTAAAACGTTCACAACAGGTTTAAATTACTGCACTTATTCAAAAATCTATAGAATTAATATTACAAAGACAAATGAATCTAACCTTTTTGCAGATATTCAAAATGGCCACTTTATTTTTTACTCTTAATAGTAGTACTAGCAAATATTTAATGAGTACCTAACAAGAAACATGTACCTAATACATTATATAATCTAACAACTCAAAGGCAGAATTTAGAAATAGTCTTAAATTCTTTTTTTTTTTTTTAATCCTCACCCGAGGACATTTTTGCATTTATCTTGAGAAAGAGCAGGAGGGAGGGAGGGAGGAAGGGAGAAAGAGAAACATGGATATGAGAGACACAATGAGTGGTCGCCATCCACACAACCTCCACCTGGGGCGGGAATGAACTGCAATCAGGGTTCGTGCCATTAGCGGGAACCGAACCCGGGTCTCTCTTGTCTACCAGCCGACGCTCTAATGGATGAGCCAAACAATTAAAATTTTATCAGATAAAACTGGGAATAGAAAGGGACATAGGAAATTTAACAGGATAGTAATAATGCTCTATCGTTTGATAAGAGTTTGAGTTAAACAGATGAATGTAACTGTCTAAAATCACAAAATCACACACTTGAAAGTTGTGCATTTCACTGTACATAGATTTCAAATACCTTAAAAAATAATAATGGACTTTAGTTAATGATAAGTATGCTCGCCCTGGCCGGTTTAGCTCAGCGGTTAGAGCGTTGGCCTGCAGTCCGGAGAGACCCGGGTTCGGTTCCCGCTAAGGGCACGTACTTCGGTTGCAGTTTGTCCCTGGCCCTGTTTGGTCGTGCGGGTGGCAGCCACTTGATGTGTCCCTTTCACGTCGATGTTTCTCTCTCTCTCTCTCTCCCTCCCACTCTATCTGTACAAAAAATGGAGAAGTGTCCTCGGGTGAGGATTAAAAAAAAAAAATGATAAGTATGCTGGATTAAGAGTCAAGGGCTGATGAATGGAGAAAGATGAACAAATATGTGAAAAAAACATATACAGAAACACTTTAAGTGTAGAATCTGGGTGGTGAGTGTATGCATATTCATTTCTGTCTCAAATATTTTATAATAAAATGTTTGTGGGCGGAAGGATAGAGCATAGTGAGGACTCAGTAAAACTGAGGAGTGTTTCTAGCAGGAACCATCTCTTTAGATTCAGTCAGACATATTTCACAATGTAGTATTTTGTTTTCGTTTGTTTTTCTGTTAATCCTCACCCAAGTATATTTTTCCATTGATTTTTTGATAGAGTGCAAGGGAGGGAGGAGCTGGGGAAGGAAGGAGGGAGGGAAGGAAGGAGGGAGGGAAACATCAATGAGAGAGACTCATCGAATGGTTGCCTCCCAAACAAAGCCAACCAGGGCTCAGGATTGAACCTGCAACCTAAGTACGTGGCCTTGATAGAAAAACTAACCCAGTACCCTTTGGTCCTCGGGCCAACAATCTTACTGCTGTACCAAACCAGTTAGGGCTATATTTTATTTTTAAAGGGAAACAAGGAATCTCAATTTTTTAATATCAAGTAATTTTTTATAATTGGCAATGAATTAAATTTTTAATACTTTTTGACCCAATTAAAATGTTTATGCTGTCAGGAATTTTCAATGCCATAATGCTTTTTCAGTTTATACTGTTCATAGTTTTAAATGGTTCTACATCAGGGTGGGTTTTTGTTTGTGTGTTTTAGTTCTTATCCTCACCCGAGGACATTTTTGCATTCATCTTCCTATAGAGCAGGAGGAAGAAAGGGAGGGAGAGAGAGAGAGAAACATCAATATGAGAGAGACACATCGACTGGCTGCCACCCACAAGACCCCAACCAGGGCCAGGGACAAACCGCAACCGAGGTACGTGCCCTTAGCGGCAACCGAACCCAGGTCTCTCTGGTCCGCAGGCCCACCGACACTCCAATCACTGAGCCAAACCGGCCAGTGCTTACTCAATACTCTTGCAGTTTGGAATTTTAACCACTAATAAACAATGAGAACACAGACACTAGGCTGGGGAAGGTAGGAGTGGGGTGGGAGTGGGAAGGGGGGGGGTCAATGTAGAAAAAAGGAGGACATCTGTAATCCTTTCAACAATTAAAAAAGGCAATGAGAGAAAAGATCATGTGCTTTGAAAAATGTCCCCTGGTAATCATTAGACCCTAGTTCAAACAGCCTCTATTCTTGGGTTGTCACTTACTTTCTTGTTACTTTTATTTTATTTTTTTATTCTTTCAGTTAAGAACCTGTAGTTTAACCTTTTATGCAGAGTGATGCAGGAACACAAGCTAAAAGATAGAATTTATGGTGTACTGGTGGAGATTGTGAATTGTGTATAAATTCAAATCAGCATTTGGAGTGTTATCTTGGGCAAAGTGAAGACAGTGACCTACTTCATAAGACTGTTGGCAAAGATAATGAAAGAGATAACGCGTACATGTGTTATTATAATGAGTAGTTAACATATAGTAACTACTTGGTAAAAGTTATTCTGAGACAGAAAGTAAAGAAATCTTTGGTTTCATTTCAAATACATATTTTTAATTGATTACAGATACTTCAATACACATCTAGAGCAGTGGTTCTCAAATGGGGTAGTTCTACTTCCCAGGGGACATTTGACAGTCTCTGGAGACCATTTTTGGTTATCAAATCTGGGTGTTGGTTCTACTGATATAAACATCCTACAATGCACAGGACAGCACCCCACAACAAGAATTATCTTGCCCACCATGTCAGTGGTGCTGAAGTTATAAAACCCTGGTATAGCCCTGGTCCGTGTGGCTCAGGTGGTCAAGCATCATCCCATGCAACTAGAGGTCTCTGGTTAATTCCCAGTCAGAGCACATGTCAGGGTTTCAGGTTAGATCTCCAGAAGGGGATGTGTAGGAGGCAGCCAATCAGTGTTTCTCTCCCTCTCCCTTTCCCTTCCTCTCTCTAAAATCAATAAAAACAGAAACCTAGTTCAGGTGAAAGTAACACCATTCACTACATTAAACGAGCTTTATAATGTACTACAACTTTTGGCTTAATTTATCCAATCTAAATTGGCAGTAACCAGTCAAAACCTAAAAAGCATTTGGGTCGAAGATTCCCCCAAAAATATCCAAAATACACACAATCTATTTCATCACTAATGTATCAGGGACTCACACTATGGATTAAGATCTTACAAGGAAGTGCCACTTAAATTCTTTTCCCTGCCCTGGCCAGGTAGCTCAGTTGGTTAGAGCATTGTCCTGATACTCAATCTCCACACAAGGTTCACACAAGAAGCAACCAATGAATGCATAAATGAGTAAAACAACAAACTGATATTTCTCTCTCTTATTTCAATAAATATATATATTTTTTAATTTTCCCTGCCCAGCCAAGGTAGCTCAGTGGAAAGGTGCTCATTTGATTCCTGGTAAGGATACATGCCTGGGTTTCAGGCTCCATCCCCAGTATGGGGCATGCAGGAAGCAGCCCATCCATATTTCTCTCTCACATCAATGTTTCTCTCTCTCTCTCTCTCTCATTCCCTTTCTTGAAAAAAAAAAAAAATCAAAAGAAGAAAACAATTTAAAAAAAATAAAGAAACAAAAATAAGCCCTGGCCGGTTTGGCTCAGCAGTTAGACCTTCAGCCTGCGAACCAGAAAGTCCTGGGTTCAGTTGGCACTAAGAGCATGTACCTCGGCTGCAGTTTGTCCCTGGCCCTAATTGGGTCATACATGTGGCAACCACTGGATGTGTCCCTTTCACATCGATGTTTCTCTTTCTCTCTCTCTTCCTCTCTCTCCCTCCCACTCTATTTGAACAAAAAACGAAAAAATGTCCTCAGGTGAGGATAAAATAGATAAATAGCTAGACAGATAGCTAGATAGATAGAAATAAATAAATAAGTTATTTTCCCTACCATTACATACTAGTAATGCTGACCCTATACCATCTCAAAAATATTGTCTCATCCTGGCCAGTGTGGCTTGGTTGGAGAGTTGTCTGGTACACCAAACAAAGGGTGTCAGGATCAATTCCCCATTGGGGCACATAAGGAAGGCAGATGTTTCTCGCTCACTTCAATGTTTCTCTCTCTCCCTCTCACTTCCTCTCTAAAATCGATTTTTTTAAAAATAGAGATTCCTGCCCTGGCTGGTTTGGCTCAGCGGTTAGAGCACTGGCGTGCGTTCCAGAGAGACCCGGGTTCGCATCCCGCTAAGGGAACGTACCTTGGTTGCAGTCTGTCCCCGACCCTGGTTGGTTGTGTGGACGGCAGCCACTCGATGTGTCCCTTTCACGTTAATGTTTCTCTCTCTCTTTCTCTCTTTCTCTCTCTCTCTCTCCCTCTCCCCCCCCCCCCACTCTATCTGAACAAAAAAATGTCCTCGGGTGAGGATTAAAAAAAAAAAAAAAGATAAACATCAATTTAAAAAAATAATTAAAAATAGAGATTCCTTCAAAGAAAAAAAAAACTTGCCTCACCTCATTCATTAACTGCAAAACAAAAGTACCAATCTAAGAAAATGTATTTGTAATTTTATTTATTTTTTCTTTATTGATTTTGGAGAGAAAGAAACATCGATGAGAGAAAACACTGATTGGCCACCTCCTGTATGCCCCCTATTGGGGATCAGGCCCACAACCTGGACATTTGCCCTGACCAGGATCGAACCAGTGACCTCCTGGTGCATGGATCGACGCTCAACCACTGAGCCACACCAACCAGGCTGTATTTACATTTTAAAAACTAATTACTGCCCTAGCTGGTGTGGCTCAGTGGTTGGAGAATCAGCCTGCGGATCAAAGAGTCACAGGTTCCATTCCAGTCAAGGGCACGTACCTCAGTTTCGGCCCTTGTCAGGATGGTGCAGGAGGCAACCAATTGAAGTGTCTCTCTCACATTAACGTCTCTCTCTCTCTCTCTCTCTCTCTCTCTCCACCCGCCCTCCCCTTCCCACCCTCCCACCTACTGTATCTGAAAATAAATGGAAAAATATCCTCAGGTAAGAATTTTTTTTAAAAATCCCTGGCCAGTTTTGCTCAGTGGTTAGCATCGGCCCACAGACCAAAGAGTCACGGGTTTGATTCAGGTCAAGGGCATGTACTTGGTTGCAGTTCATCCCTGGTCGGGGTCATGTGGGAGGGCAACCAATGGATGTCTCTCACATTGGTGTTTCTTTCTCCCCTCCCCCCCACTCTATCTGAAAATAAATGGGAAAATATCCTCAGATGAGTATTAAAAAAAAATTTACTAAACAAGAAGTATTTCTAAAAACACAAACCAGATAAAACCAGCAGTATTTTAGAGCTACTACACCATCCCTATATGTACACTACAATCACTATACCATTACTTACATTCCAATCAAGCATACATTCTATGATTTTCCTAAGTAGAAAACAATACATACTAGCTCAGAAATATTTAAAGTTTTTAAATTTACCTATTAATCAAAGAGCTCAGACTGAAATAGGGAAGTTCTCCATAAAGACAAATTTTGTAAACCAAATTCTGTTTTCCAACTGACAAATTTCTAACATTCTTACATAAAAATTTAGGGTAACAGATCTGGAGGAGCATATCCCAAAGGAACAAAATAACAGCAACCCTTCTCACCTCCCCATTTCATAATCTCATACATTTTTTTTTAAAGAAAGAAAAGCAATGAGTTGTGCTGTCCAATGGAGTAGCCACTATTGGACATGTGACTATGTAAGAATTAATAAAATTTAAAATTAAACCCCTGGGCCCCAACAACCACATTTTAATTACTCGACAATCACGTATGTTTAGTGACTACTGTATTAGACAGCACAGATACATAACATTTCCATTACTGCAGATTATTGCAGAGCCGAATACACTAAAGAAGGATTGCTAACTTTAAGGATTGAAAGGGAAAAGATTTTTTCCATGTCAATAAAATGTTTATTGGCTTATTTGTAAATGTAAGGCTTCCAAAAAAGAGGAAAATACTGCCCTACCATTCTTCCAGAATGTCAACTTCAAACTAGAACAAGATGATGCTAGAGGTTAAAGATTGTAAAAATGTTAAATACCACCATTTTGGAAAGTTTACTGAAAGTTGTTTATAATACTTTATTGTAGAAACCTAACTTCTTTTAAGAAAACGTTTGAATAGATATACTAAAAACTACTTTACCAAGTGACAGGCTGTTTCTCTAATGTTCAAAACATAATTAACTGCATTTATAATTTTATGTTGAAAAGGCACTATTTAATTGGATTTTAAGGAAATGTCCATGTCTCATCAATACCCTATGAAAATTTATCATTCTCTTGAGGCCATTTAGATGTTCAAATGTTTCCCCTAAAAAGTAGTGTCACTTAATTACAATCAAGTTTCTATACATATTAAAATTCTGCCTTGACCAGTCACTGAGAGAACCCAATATTAAAAGATAAAGTTCCATAAAAACTGTGAATCTTAGAAGCAGAATTTTCATTTGGAATATTTTACTTACTTTCTAAATAAAATAAATTAAATGAATTTTTAACAATTAAAAAAAGCTAAAGTTCCAATAAGGTTTCCACAAACTGCCATGAACATAAAATTTGAGGCTCAAGGTAGACAAAACACACACTTATTTGTGTAAAAATTACTTCTTTGTATAAAAAAGCCTCCATCCAAGAAAGATATTTTGTTGGCAAAAATTCAGCATCCAAATATGAATTACAACAGTGCTGTATAACTGACACTGATGGAATGCACCAGAAAACAATAGGAAAACCTAGATGATACTGTGTCCTTTAAGTGTAAACCCTCACCGTTCAGATGATTTTTAAAAAATATAAGGGAGGCACAAATAGTGCACGATATTGGATAACTCTCTAACAATTATATTTAAAAGTAGTAAAGATATACAGTGTTCTCGTGTTAGAATGTGTAAGTAAAACTGTATCTAATTCCACAGCGTGGAAACCTCTCGAACGTTGGAGGGAAGACGCGTTTCATTAGATGCAACCATTCAGCACCATCCCAGGGCCGCGGCATGGAGGGCAAATGCGGGCTACGCCGATGGCTGAGGCGAGCGAGAATGCCCAAATGCTTGCGGGTCTGGAGGAAGCCCAGGACGATCTGACTGAATTGCAAGCAGCAATTCTGCTGGGTGCGTCTTGGTGCCCGGGGAGACCTCTGGTAAGAGCAGGCTCCGGTTCCCAATTCCTAGCCCATTCATTCCCTTCGAACCCCATCTTGCCTGGCCTCGACAGTGCCCACAGCGCTGGCTCCCAGGACTCGTAGCCACAGCCAGCCGGGACGGGCTCGCCGTCGGCGAGGCAGGCCGCGCGGGACCGCGGGCGACCCGCCGGCAGCGGGAAACGACACCTCGCGCCCGCCCCATACTCACCAGGCGGATGAAGCCGAAACCACGGTCGCGGTTGATGAAGACCTCGCTGGGCTCGCCGTAGCGCTCGAAGAGCCGCTTGAAGTCCTCCTCGGTGATGTCCGTGGGCAGGTTGCCCACGAAGAGGCGACAGCGCTGCGTGTACGTCTTCTCGCCCGGCTTGAGGAAGCTCTTGATGTCGATGGTGAAGCCCACCTCCTCGTCCGGGCGCTCCTCCGCGGGCGCGGGAGCGGACGGCGCCGGCTCCCCAGCCAGCGCGAGAGCCATGGCGGCCGCCGGCTCGCTCTCGCCCGCCGCCGACTCGAGAGCACGCAGGCGGGCCGGGTTTTTCTCAATGCGGACTTGCTTCAGGTTTCCCCTCAACATCATCGGAGGGCTTCACCTCGGACTGGGGAACCAACCTCAGAGATGTATCTATGGCTCCGTACCTCCCTATGGAGAAGGGACAGGGAAGAAGAAAGCAGATAGGGCCGGGAGGTCGCCAGGCCACCACCACTGCCAGATCCACCTCACGCCCGGGACCGCTGCACGTTCAAAATGGCGCTGCCTCCAGCCGCTGTTAGAAGAGACGCCGACCGCGAGCCCCGCCCCTACGCAAACGCCGGCGCCTGAGCCAACGCGCCTGCGCAGTTGTGGAGTCTCAGCACCTGAGCTAGTCCGCGCCTGCGCACAGCGTTACCAGCGTTCCCGTTCCAGGGTTCCTTGTAACGCAGACAAATGCAGTCCCCCCACACCCCCGCCAAAATAGCAGGGATTTTTGGTTGTACATACCTATGGTAAATATTGTGCGTTGTGTGCAGCAGTGTGTGGAAATACCATATTCTTATAAATACCCAGCTCAATCTTCAGTGACAACGGGAAAATAAAAACCTGCACAATTTATACACGGCTTTGAATAACAGGATATTTCCCAGTAATTGATACAGGTGAAAACACATTTCTGCCTGTTTAGAGAGCAAGGCTTTTATTATAGTTCCTAATGTCCACACTCCAATTCTATAAAATAAGTCTGCCTATGAAAGTAGTACAGCCAGACCCGGAACTCCTATGGACCTACTTTGACAAGGGTATGCAAACATTTTCTGTAAAAGGCCTGATTGCAAATATTTTAAGATCTGGGAACCAAACAGTGCCTACCAAACAAGCCACTTCTGCCGAGTACTGCCTCTGGTTCATGGTAAGTCTTTAACTAGTGTTAAGAAATTAATTCAGCAGTCACTCTGAAAAAATAGTTCAATAGCTTCTCATGAAGTTAAACATAGGATGACTTTAGAACCGCAACCCCACTGCTATTTAGCCAAGTGAAATAAAAAAAACTTTTCACACAAAAGCCCATATGCAAATGTTTATAGGCGCTTTTGTTTTAATCAGCAAAAAACTAGAAACAACCCAAAAGTCCAACTGGTGAATGGGTAAACATTGGTACATTCACATAATAGAATATACTGTGTAAAAAATAAACTACTCCAGGCCAGTGTGGCTCAATTGATTGAGTGTTGTCCCAAACACAAAAAGGTTGCAGGTTCAATTCCTGATCAGGGCACATGCCCAGGGTTGCAGGCTAACCCCCAGGAGGGGGCCTGCAGGAGGCAGCAGATGGATGTCTTGCTCTCACAGATGTGTCTCTCACTCTTTCCCTATCCCTTCTTCTCTCTCTAAAAATCAGTTTTAAAATCTTAAAATAAATCAATAAACTACTGATACAGCAACAGTGTGACTCAAAAGGCTACATTCTGTATACATAACAGTCTGGAAAAGGCAAACCTATAGCTCCAGAAGACAGATTGGTGGTTGCCAGGAGCTGGGAGGCAGGGAAGGGTTGACTACATAGTGACACAGGGAAATTTATGGAAGGATGGAACTATATATTGATTGTGGAGTTGGCTACACAACTGTATATATTTGTCTAAATGTGGTAGACCTGTACACTAAAAGAGTCAATTCAATGTTACTGTATTTAAATTAAACTTTAAACAAAATAAATTATCCACAGAAATAAAACTCTGTCAGGACTAATACCTATTGACCTCAAAAAAATTCTAATCACCCAGACTCCAAGGATAGCTCTGTAAATTCCTCAATCTGACCCAATTCTTCTCTCCCCTCTCAGTGGCCCCCAAACCTATTGAGCTCTTGGAAACTCACACTCTGTCATCAGCAAAATCCCTACTCTTAATTTTTACTCTGAACATCACTTAACTTTCCTGCTTTAACTGGAACATGGTTTTCCTCTGAAGAGTGCTTCCCATGCAGCCACTGAGAGAAGTGGATTTGTTTTTCTCCTACATCCCTTGTGCCACTGGACATTTTCCTTGATCCTTCCCAACTTGGACACTATGTCCCCTTTCTCCTTCAACAAAAATCCCAGCTCCTAAAAGCTCATGCCAACATAAACTCTCTCCCCGTCTCTCCCTCTCCTTTGCCCTCTTCTTTCTCCCCTGTAATAACTTTCTGACCCCTCTTTAAATTTATGATCACAAATATCAGGTAGGACCTCAGCCCCTAGTTATTTTTCTCACCTAATTTCCTTTACAACAATTTCACATATTTTCTCTCTCCTCAAACCAACACTCCTCCCCACCTCACTCATAGATAATATTGTCAACTTTTATTAAATTCACTGAAGAAAAAGACACAGAATAAAATTGCCTCATTCTATCAGCACCAAATTTACCAACCTAACTCTGTATGTAGCCATATATATTGCCTTGCCTCCTGTCACACTGAGCGAATTGCCATTGATCTTCTGTAATGCCAACCCACTGAATAGCATCTTCTTTCCAAGTACTTGGCTTTTATTTAATCACCTTCCCAAGTGATCAGTTACTTGATCAGTACTGAACTACTCCCATCTGCAAAACAAACTGCTGATATAACTATCATCTTTTAAAAAAAGAAAAGAAAAAAAGCCTTCCTAGACCACATGTCCTTTAGCTACTACTTCTTTACAAAAGAAAGAAGAGAGTCATTTATACTTTCTGTCCATTTGCTCATCTCTTGATTTCTCCCTAAGCTGCACTAATCAAATGTCTACCCCCACGTTCCATTCCGTTGAAACCTCTCTTGGTACAGGGGGCAACAGCTTCCACTTTACCAGATGCAACAGTCAAATCTCAGACCATTCAAAAGCATTTAACCTGGTAGATCTGTGACTGAATTTCATCATGTATAATATGGGAATAATATCTACTTTGTAAACTTATTGTGCATGTTAAATAAATTAATTACACTCTTTGAAAATTATTCTGACACCATAAAATTATTATTATTAATAATTTCCCTCCTAACTTCTTGAAACAGCATTCTGTCTTCCATTATATTCTCCTGGTGTTCTTTTTTTTTTTTTAATATGTTTTTAGTGATTTTAGAGAGAGATGAAGAAAAAGGGAGAGAAACATTGATCACATCCCCAGATGGGGATTAAGCCCGAAACCTAAGCAGTGTGCCTGCATTGGAATTGAACCGGTGACCTCTCAATGCATGGGATGACACTCAACCAATTAGGCCACAATGGCCAGGGCTCTCTAGGCATTTTTATACCTCACTGGCCACTCCTTAGTCTCTGTGTCTTTCTTGGGAATCCTCACTTTATATGTTGGAGAACCACAGGTCTAAGTCCTCCTATCTTCTCCAGCTACTTATTCCCTAGGTCAGATGCCAATGTGCCTCAGAAGCATTAGAGAGGTTTCCTAAATCTCGACACTATTGATATTTGGGATCAAATAATTATTTGTAGTGAGAGTATGTATAGCAGCATCACTGGCTCCTACCCATTAGATGCCAGTAGAACCCTACTCCCAAGCATTATTTTAATTGCTTTACACTTACTTGGACCTTTAGTTAGTTAGTAGTTTTTTTTTTTATTTAAACCAACATTTTATTGAGCTCTCCTCACGCCTTAGAAATCTACTCCAGCAGATTCTCTCTCTGCTGTGGGCATCACAGACACAGGGTGTGACAAGCATGCCCATCACTGCCTGCTATCTGACCCACCCACAAGAGGAGGACTCCTTCTGGGGACAGGAGAGCAGTTAAATACAAAGACCGCAGAGGGCCCTGGCTGGTGTGGCTCACTGGTAGAGTGTCAGCCTGTGGACCAATGAGTCATGAGTTTGATCCCGGCCAAGGGCATGTACCTCAGTTGCAGTTTGTCCCCAGCCCTGGGCGGAGTCCTGCGGGAGGCTACCAGTGGATGTCTATATCTTGCGTCCATGTTTCTTTCTCTCTCCGTTTCTCTCCCTCTCTCCTCCCACTCTGTCTGAAGATAAATAGAAAAATATCCTCGGGTGAGGATTAAAAAAAAAAGACCCCAGATAATTGATTTCTTACGAAAAAAAATACAAACAAAAAACAAGTATGAAACCACAGGTGTGTCCAGAACTTAGAATTTAAATACAAAAAAGAGATAAGAAAACAGATAAAAAGACAACAAAATAACCTGGCCAGTGTACCTCAGTGGTTGAGCTTGTACCCACACACCAAAAGGTCACTGGTTCAGTTCCCGATCAGGGCACATGCCCAGGTTGTGGGCCCGATCCCCGGTGAGGGGCATGCAGGAGGTGACCAGTCCATGTTCTCTCTCATCGATGTTTCTATCTCTCTCTGACTCTCCCTTCCTCTCTCTAAAAAAATTAAAAAGACAACAAAACCAACAAGGCCACCTCCAGGGTGGTGATCCAGGGGGAGGGGCCAGCCCCTCCCCTGCACTGAACAACAGCATGTCAATGGAGGAGGTCCAGGACCAGCACCAGCAGCAGCAGCACAGACAGCTTGCGCCCCCAGCTGGGGGACACCCAGTCCCTGAGGATCAGGAAGCTCCAGAAGCTTCTGTTAACCTGCAGGCAATGAGACCACTCATAAAACTTCTAAGAACATTCCTCAGGGCTGTCTGGTTGTAGGTGAAAGTCAAGCTGTACATGGCCAACCGGGACACTTGGGCAATGCGAGGCAGTGTCTCTCTCACTTCCAACTCATCCCCAGGGAAGGCCAGCCGCATTGCCACCTCGTGAGGGATGTCACCAAGGGGATCAGGATTGTATTGCAGGAGATTGGTTATGCCAGGGACCATCAGAGCTTGCAAAAGAAAGTACACAAAATGAGGTTCCTGGAAAGGAGTCCTGCCTGAGACATTTCTTCCCTTGCATCGGTGGTGGCAGTGCCAATGGTGGCGGGTGCCCGCAGTGCTCCAGCCAGGAGGCGTACTGTGTCTGGACTTTTTTTTTTAGAATAGTTTTAGGTTCACAACAAAATTAAGAGGAAGACCCGGCTGGTGTGGCTCAATGGTTGAGCATCGACCCATGCACCAAGAGGTCACCGGTTCAATTCACAGTCAGAGCACATACCCAGGTTGTGGGCCAAATCCCTAGTCGGGGGCATGCAGGAGGCAGCCAGTCGATGTTCTCTCTCATGGATGTTTCTCTCTCTCTCTCTCTCTCTCTCTCTCTCTCTCTCTCTCTCCCTTCCTCTCTCTCTAAAATCAATAAAGGAGAAATATAAAAACAAAAAAAATTCGCCACTCTCGCCCTGGCCGGTTTTGCTCAGTGGTTAGAGTGTAGGCCCGCAGGAGTCACGGGTTTGATTCAGGACAAAGACACGTACCTTGGTTGCAGTTAGTCCCTGGCCCCGGTCATGTTGTGTGGGAGGGTAGCCAGATGTTTCTCTCTCTCCCCTCTCCCTCTCCTTCTCCCTCCCTCCCACTCTATCTGATGTTAAACAGAAATAAGTCCTGGGGTGAGGATTAAAAAAAAGAAAATTCACCACTCTTGGTGCTGTACTTTCTATTGAGTCTACAAAAAATTTTAATGACACATACACACCATTATATCATCATATAGTGTTTTAACCTTAAAATTCCCCTGTGCTCCACCTATCCATCCATCTCCACATCAATCCCCTGGCAACTATTGACTATTAATTCCAGAATATCATATAGTTGGGATCATACAGTATGTAGCCTCTTCAGGCGGACTTCTTTCACTTAGCAATATGAATTTAAGCTTCTTTTAATTCTTTTCATGGCTTAATAGCTCATTTCTTTCTTTTTTTAAATTTATTGTACTGGTTTTTAGATAGAGAAAGGAAGGGAGAGAGAAAGAGACACTTTGATTTGTTGTTCCCAATTATTTATGCATCCATCAGGGCTCTTTTTAACTTTTTTTTTTACCTTCACCCGAGGACATTTTTCGATATTTTGTTCAGATAGAGTGGGAGGGAGAGAGAGAGAGAAACATCGACATGAAAGGGACACATCGAGTGGTTGCCACCCACACGACCCAACCAGGGCCGGGGACAAACTACAAGTGAGGTACATGCCCTTCGCGGGAACCTAACCCGGATCTCTCTGAACCACAGGCCGACACTCTAACCGCTGAGCAAAACTGGCCAGGGCCTGAGGACATTTTTGCATTCATATTCAGATAGAGTGGGAGGGAGAGAATGAGGATGTGAGAGAGAGAAACATCGATGTGAGAGAGACACATCAACTGGCTGCCACCCACATGACCCTAACGGGGCTGGGGATAAACTGCAAACAAGGTATGTGCCCTTAGTGGGAACTCAACCCGGGACTCTCTGGTCCGCAGGCTGAAGCTCAAATGGCTGAGCCAAACGGCCAGGGCCATTCACTTTGAACTATTCTTTTCCCATATATAATTTGTAACACCATGCATTGGTCATCTGAAAAATATTGGTTCACTCCTTTTTTAAAAATTGATTTTAGAGAAAAGAGAGAGAGAGAGAGAGAGGTTGATTTGTTGTTCCACTTATTTATGCATTCATTGGTTGCTTCTTGTATGTGCCCTGACCTGAGATGGAACCCGCAACCTCGGCATATCAAGACAGCGCTCTAACCAACTGAGCTACCTGGCCAGGGTTTATTTCTTTTGTTTTGTTAATCCTCACCCGCAGATATATTTTCCATAGATTTTTAGAGAGAGTGGAAGAGAGGGAGGGAGGATGAGAGGGAGAGAGAGACACATCTGTGTAAGAGACACATCTAAGTATTGGCTACCTCCCACACATACCCTAACTGGGGCCGGGGATCAAACCTGCAACGCAGGTACATGCCCTTGATTGGGAATTAAACCTGTGATGCTTCAGTGCATGGGTTGACACTCTAACAACTGAACCACACCTGCCAGGGCATAATTTCTTTTTAGTGATCATTTCTTTTTGGGCACTATTGTGTTCTGGATGTACCACAGTTTATCTATCCATTCACCTATTGAAGGGCATCTTGGTTGTTTCCAAGTTTGACAATTATAAATGAAGCTGCTATAATCATGTGTACTTTGGGTGGACCCAAGTTTTTTTTTTATCCTCACCCGAGGACTTTTTTTTTTGCATTTATCTTCAGATAGAGTGGGAGGGAGAGAGGGAGGAAGAGAGAAAAACATCGATGTGAGAGAGACACATCGATTGGCTGCCACCCACAGGACCTCAACTGGGGCAGGGACAAACTGGAACCAAGGTACGTTCCCTTAGCGGGAACCAAACCCGGGACTCTCTGGTCTACAGGCTGATGCTCTAACTGCTGAGCCAAACCAGCCAGGGCTTAACTTCTGTATTTTTCATGTTCTTGGCCCTCCAAATATGGACTGTTTCACAGGCTCTCATAGGTTTGTTAACCTAAAAATTTTATAAAAGCCGTTCAAAGAAGCAGCAACACACATTTATTTGAGATCAAAGAATAGTATTCAGAACCCACTGATTCAGGAAGAAGATCAAATAGTGTTCTGATAAGGAAACAAATGTAAGGGGTATTTATGAGAAGGGGAAAGGGAACAATCACAATATCAAAAGGAATGCATTTCTATTGGTGCAGATAAGCTAACAACAGTGATTTTAATTCTAAAGAATGTTTTGAAGTTTCAGTCCTGTAGCTATCAGTCATAAGATCTGCTCTCTTACTATGTTTGCAAACATTTTTTTAAAACATAATGTTACTTTAGGCCCAGTTCAAAGGTTATTTTGCCGTGTTTTAACTTTCCAGGGTTTGAGGCACAAGACATGCAAGGTAGTTCCCTCTGGTATGGCAGCTCCAGCTCCATTTTAAAGTGAATTTATGTATGTATGTATGTATGTATGTATGTATCTCAGACTCTGCAATGTCTGCTAATTACCCATACCAAGGCACCCTATTCATTCTTTTTTTGTTTTGTTTTAATTTTCAATGTATTTTTATTTATTTTAAACATTAAAATAATTTTTTTTCCCTTATTATTTTTAGAGAGAGAGGGAGAGAGAAAAGTAGAAACATGGATAAGAAAGAACATTGATTGGCCGCCTCCTGCATGCCCCTCACTGGGGATCAGGCCCACAACCTGGGCAATGTGCCTTGATCGGAATTTAAACCGGCAACCTCTTGGTGCATGGGTTGATGCTCAACCACTGAGCAACACCGGCAGGGCTCAATGTAAGAATTTTAATGATAGCAATTTTAAAATGGTGAGGTTTACAAAATAAAATTCACTTGTCATCCTTAAGAAAAGCAATAAATTGCCATTTCTTTTTTTTTTATCCCCAAACGAGGACATTTTTACATTTAAATTCAGATAGAGTGGGAGAGAGAGAGGGAGGAAGAGAGCGAGAGAAACATTGACATGATAGAACCACACTGACTGGTTGCCACCCACACAACCCCAACTGGGGCCAGGGACAAACTGCAACTGAGGTACGTGCCCTTAGAGAGAACCAAACCTAGATGTCTCTGGTCTGTGGGCCAATGCTTTAACCACTGAGCCAAACCAGGCTAGGGCAAATTGCCATTTCTTGATGACTGTTACGTGGAATTGTCTTTATTTATTTATTTATTTATTTTCCTCACCTGAGGACATTTTTGCATTTATTTTCAGATAGAGCAGGAGGGAGAGAGCTCAGTGGCCGGTTTGGCTCAGTGGTTAGAGTGTCGGCCCGCAGATCAGAGAGGCCCGGGTTCGCTTCCTGCAAAGGGTATGTACTTAGGTTGCAGTTTGTCCCTGGCCCCAGTTGAGGTCATGTGGGTGGCAACCAGTCAATGTGTCTCTCTCACATGGATGTATCTCTCTCTCATTGATGTTTCTCTCTCTCTCTTCCTCCCTCTCTCCCTCCCACTCTATCTGAAAATAAATGCAAAAATGTCCTTGGGTGAGGATAAAAAAAATTGAATGGTTTCCCTGGGTGTTTCAGCATAGGCCTCACTAACAGCACCGGCCTCACCAACAAGAATGCACCTTGTTCTGCTCATATGCCATTTTGTTTCCTAAAAAAAGCTATGAGAGAAGCTTAAGTATATATAACAGTTTAACATATGATAAAATTGGTATCAGAAACAATGAGAGAATTACTAAGTATACAGTGATGTGAACACCGATTGACCATCTGAGAAAACGAGATTCCTAATTTTCACAAGTATTTCACAAATTTCAAACAGAAAGTCTCCTTCAGAGGGGGAAAAAATGCCACAATACCTAAAGGTAAACTTAATATATTTTTTATTTTCATATTTATATGTGTACCAACATAAAATAAGGTATACACTTTATGTTTATAGTTCTCTAATAACAATAAAAACTAAATAAAACATTTGCAAATTAAAATAAAACCAATAAAATGTAAATTAACCACCTTAAAATTTTATTTAACAAATGATACTGTTTTGCTCAAATAAAACAATGTTTTGCACAAAAGATATAAATCACGAGTATTTGGTTTAATAGCAAAAAGTTGCAGTTTCATATCCCATTCTATTCTTAAACTGCTTCTGAATATCTGCTTTTTAAAAACAAAAAAATGTTTTCATTGATATTTTAAGAGAGAGAGAGTGAGAGAGAAACATTCATCAGGTGCCTCCTACCAAGGATGGAGCCCAAAACCCAGGCATGTGCCCTGTCTAGGAATTGAACCAGTAACCTCTTGGTGCATCTGATGATGCTCAACCAGGCTGGACTGCTTCTCAGTGTTTTTACTTTAATAATAATGATGAGAACACTTGTCCACATAAGTATGTTGTTCAAACTGTTGATAAATTTAAGACTTTTTCTCCCTCTTTCAGGATAATTAGAAAATTAACCAAACCTATCAAATGCCATTTTAAAAAGATGTGAATTGGTATATTGAAAAAATTAACAACTACCTTTATTGAAACCTGTATTATTGAAACCTGCATTAGCCACTATTGAATCCAACTAGCTTTATAATTTGGAATAGAAACATTCTTTACTATTTACTTGCTATTATGCTTATTGCTAATGGACTCCTGAGTTACTCTGTGTAGGAGCCTCACAACACAAGGGTATTGCTAGGTACAGATCCCCTCTGAGTGAACATAAGATCCTGCCAGGTCTATCATGTGTAGAGTAGCAGCACACCCTCACTGCTCTCACTGTCATGTACTCTGTGTCCTACAGCTTCAACAGTTTTTCTTTTTTTCACATCAGACTTTAATTTTAAATACTTAACACTATTGTTGATGTGCATTTCACTTTCTTCATGTTTGCTAAGAATGTGTGATAAATGCTGCCAATCTTTGCACCCATTCTCATTCTTCAGTTGATTTTTTCCTTCCCCAAAGAGTTTGCAATATAGACAAAACACAGAATCTTTTGAGGCTGAATAAAGTAACCAAGATCTAGTGGTTTTTTCACCATTTGGAAGAATTCGTGTATAATAAGTTTCTGAAAACTTCCTCCCTGTATTGTCTTTTGGAAAGTTAAAATTTCTTACTTGAGGTGGATCATTTTCAATAAGAATATCCCGTTGCTTAATATTTAAAATTCGTGGCCATGTGCCTGGATCTGCAGAAAGCACAACTGGTAGAATGGAGTCTTCTGATTTTTTCTCTTCCAATTGCTCTTGAAACATATCAGCTACAGTGGACACAGAAGTAAGTAAATGTACATCCTGTCTGGTCAGAGATGCATCTGTGCTGCACTCTGCTGATACCTGTGGCTCGGAAGTGTTTTCCTTTTTTTCTGGTAGTCCCTCTATTTTTTCCAAAAGTGTATTCAATGATCCATATAATTTTCTTTCATTTTCTTCTCTAACAGCATTCCTTTTCCTGTTTTCTGATGTGAATATTTTTTCTGATTTTGTTTCCAGCATCTAGAGAGAATCAGATTATAATTTTATTTTAGAATTGTTAACACTAAAAACAATGAATGTATATACGAATGCCCAGTAAGCAATGAAAAGATGCTCTTCATTAGTCATCAAAGAAGAAAAACAAATCAAAACCACCATATTCTACTTCACACTCACTAGGATGCCTACAATAAAAAGACAGGTGTTGGCAAAGATGTGGAAAAATGGGAATCTTTCTAAGTTGATGGCAGGAATAAAAAATGGTGTATCTATTTGGAAAACAGTCTGGAAATTCCTCAAAAGTTTAACAGAAATACTATATGACCTACAAATGCCAAAATAAAAATATATGTCCATATAAAGACTTATACAAAATGTTCATAGCAATATTATTCATAATAGCCAAAAAGTAGAAACAATTCAAATGTCCGTTACTGATGGATAAGTGATTATGTGGCATTATCCATACAATGGAACATTATTTGACAATAAAAAGTGAAGATATAACATGGATGAACCTTGAAAACAGGATGATACAAAAGTGAAAGCCAGTCACAAAGTACCACATATTGCATGATTCCATTTAATATGGATTTCCGACTGTAAGGAAGGCTAAGCTTACAGAGACAGGAAGCTGTGGTAATGCTGGCAAGAGGATGGAGGCTATGTCTAGGATATAAGATAGAGTCAAGAACCCGGCCAGTGAGGCTCAGTGTTTGAGCACTGTCCCATGCACCAGGAGGTCGCTGGTTCGATTCCCAGTGGGGGGCATGCAAGAGGCAGCTAATCATGTTCTCTCTCATCAATGTTTCTATCTCTCTCCCCCTCTCCTTTCCTCTCTCTCTTAAAATCAATAAAGAAAAAAAATAGTCAAGAGATATTTAGGAACTAGAATCTGGATTAGTTGATAATTGAGTTACTCTGGAGACTGAGAAGAGGGAGGTGTACAGAATGATCCCAAAATGGGTGAGTAAGATGACTCCATGGCATGGTTTCAACTTCTAACCAGAGAGGATCATGAATGTGAATATTTTGTCATAAATAAATAGTGACTCCTTCTACCCCCTGCCCCCTGGGGTATTTGACTGACTACTGGGTCATTTACTAACAAGGAAAACAAATAAGGAAAGCAAGTTTAGAGTCAGTTTTATTTATTTAATTATTTTAAAAATATGTTTATATTGACTTTTTTAGAGAGGGAGGAACAAAGAGAGATAGAAATATTGATGTGAGAGAGAAACATCAACTGTCTGCCTCTTACACACCCCCTACTGGGGATTGAGGCCACAACCTAGGCATGTACTCTGACTGGGAATCAAACCGGGGACCTCTCAGTCCATGGGATGACGCTCAATCCACTGAGCCTGGCCAAGCTACAAATAGTTTTAGAGAAAGTTTGGGGTATGTAAAACATTCAAATGGAGATTACTGATGGTCTGAAACTAAAGAAATACGATCTTTATATATTTTGGAAGTTATCAAAATTTGTATTATTTGAAACTATGGGAATAGAGAAGACTGTACTAGAAGAGCACGTAGAAAAAGAAACAGAAACCCAAGGACTGCAATGTTCATTTTTACACTACCCAATCCAAGCTCTGGACTTACCTCTTTCCTTCCTGGGTTTCTTGGTAATGAATGGGTAGTTAAGTTATTATAATTCTCAATGGGTGGGACACATCCCAGCTATTGGACCTTGGGCAAGTAAGTCACCTGTAATCGCCTAAGCTTTAGTTTCCTTTTAATAAAATGAGGACGTGCCCTGGTCGGTTTGGCTCACCGATTAGAGCCTCAACCTGTGGACCAGGGAGTCCCGGGTTCGGTTCCTGCTAAGGGCATGTACCTTGGTTGACGTTTGTCCTTGGTCCTGGTTGGGGTTGTGCGAGTGGCAGCCAATTGATGTTTCTCTCTCTTCCTTCCTCTCTCCCTCCCGCTTAAAAAAAAAAAAAAAAATGAGGACATCCATTGCGCATAATTAAGGAGACTTCAGATGATTAAATGTGAAAATACATAAAACGCTGTATATGGCACCACAGTAAACTCATGTTAGTTGACCTTATTGGCAAACACACATAAAAGGAGACTCATAATTATGTGACAATTACTGAATAGGCTCTAAGAGCAAATAGCGAATGATATAAAAGACAAGTGGTTGATTCAGCTACTCCTTGGTGTAAAAGCTCATAAATTTTCTGCCCTATACTCTAGGATGAAGGTTAAAATGTCTCTCCCGATCAATGTTACTCAGGCTCTCTCTCCAGGAACACACATCTGAGATTCCTTGAAAATCAAATTAAAAAATACTTCAGTGCAGCACTATATTCTTTTGTCACATGAACATTTTTACTGATGACCTGCATGAAAACTGAAGCCAAATAGTCTGGCCGGCTGGTGTGGCTCATCGGACTGAGTGTCCTGGTTTGATTCCTGGTCAGGGCACATGCCAAAGGTTGTGGGCTCAATCCCCAGTAGGGGGCGTGCAGGAGGTAGCTGATGGATGTTTCTCTCTCACATCAATATTTCTCTATCTCCCTTCCTCTCTAAAAAAAAAATCAATAAAAAACATTTAAAAAAACTGAAGCCATGTACAGCCGGAGTGACTCAGTGGTTGAGCATCGACCCATGCACCAAGAGGCTGTCAGTTTGATTCCCAGTAAGGACACATGCCCAGGTTGTGGGCCTAATCCACAGTGGGGGCATACAAGAGGCGGCCAATCGATGTTCTCTCCATTGATGTCTCTCTCTCTCTCTCTCCCTCTCCCTTCCTCTCTCTCTAAAATCAATGAAGGGAAAAAAAATTTTTAAAAAACTGAAGCCAAATAAAAGGCAGGTGATAGGCACAAATTAACTAAAGCCTCTAAAAACAGGGCGGGGCAGGTGTGTGTGTGGAAATCACTAGGAAAAAAGGTACCCAGAGGGAGAACATTACATTTATTAACAGAAGATCATTTCACTCTCAGAAGTATTCTAGTGGCTTGGTCACCCTACATGTAAGGCTAGTTATTCTGGAGATTTCAGAATTGAATTCAGATAGAGCCTGGCCTCAGGGAATTTTTGTATTATTTGGGGAAATGAGGCACACATACAATCAAATGTTTGTATTATACACTAATTAAGGTTTCCAATGTGAACTCAAATCTAGCTGTGATTCTGGCTAAGACACTTTCTGGGAACTTCAATTATCTCTCCCTTTCCCTTCTTCTCTAAAAACTAGCCTTCCTTTAAATACTTACAGTCAACTATGGGTATCTATTATATCCTCTATTGTTCAATAGGCCTTGCACTTGAGTTACTTTACCCTAAAAGCTAACCACTTAAATCCTTATCCAATGAGGATGAAGAATGTTCCTAGTTTTATATTTATGATCCATCTTTAATTAATTTTTTGAAATGTTTTTGTTGATTTCAGAGAGAAAGAGGGAGAGAGAGAAACATCAATCAGTTCCCTATCATATGAACCCCAACCTGGGATCAAAACTGCAACCTGTGTGTGCGCTCCGACTCAGAATCAAATGGGCACTTTCACTGCAGGGGACAATGCTCAACCAACTAAGCCACACCAGCCAGGGCTTGAATTAATTTTTATATATGGAATAAAATGGTCAAGGATCATTTATTTCCTACAAACAAAAAATTATCTTAGCACCATTGGTTAAAAAGATCATGCTTTATGCCCTGGCCAATTTGGCTCAGCAATTACAGTGCTGGCATTTGGACCAAAGAGTCGTGGGTTGGATTCAGGTCAAGGGAACGTACCTCAGTTGGGGATCACTCCCCAGTCCCAGTCGGGGTCGTGTAGAAAACAACCAGTCAATGTTTCTCTCTCTCCCTCCCACTCTATCTGAAGGTAAATGAAAAAATGTCCTTGGGTGAGGATTTAAAAAATAAAATAAAAATAAATAAAAAATCTTGCAATTCCCATAAAAATGATTCGGTACCTTCTATTAAAATCAATTGACCATTATATATGCCATGGTCAGTGTGGCTCAGTTGGCTGAGTGTTATTTTGTGCACTGAAAGGTTGCCAGTTCAACTCCCCAGTCAGGGTGCATGAGGGAAGTAATTGATGATGTTTCTCCCCCTCTCCCCTTTCTTCTCACTCTAAAATCAGTAAAAACATATTTAAAACAAATAGTATCAACTGCCTGTACAGGTGTGATTTAATTTCTGGACTACATATTCCATTTACCTAATTGTTTATTTTATATGTCACACTACCTTGATTACTATAGCTTTTTTTCCCTTTTTTATTGATGTTTTTAGAGAGAGAAAAATGGAAAGGGGGAGAGAGAGAGAAACATTGATGAGACAGAACATCAATTTGCCATTTGCACACTCCCCACAGGGGATTTGGCCCACAACCTGGGCATGTGCCCGGGAACTGAACCAATGACCTCCTGGTAAATGGGTCAATGCTCAACCACTGAGCCACACTGGCTGGGCTACCTTTTTTTTTTTTTTAAATATATTTTTATTGATTTTCTTAGAGAGAGAGGAAGGGAGAGATAGAAACAATGATGTGAGACAGAAACACTAATCAGCTATTCCCTGCACATCCCCCACTGGGGATGGAGCCCGTAACCCAGGCATGTAAACCACCAGAAATCAAACCGAGACCTCTCAGTCCATGGGATGACACTCAATACACTGAGCCACACTGGCCATGCGATTACTATAACTTTTTTTTTTTCAAATAGGGAACTTTTTATTTTTATTTATTTATTTATTTATTTATTTTATCCTCACCCGAGGACACTTTTCCATTTTTTGTACAGATAGAGTGGGAGGGAGAGAGAGGAAAGGAGAGAGAGAGAGAAACATCGACGTGAAGGGACACATCGAGTGGCTGCCACCCGCACGACCAACCAGGGCGGGGGACAAACTGCAACCAAAGCACGTGCCCTTAGCGGGAACCGAACCTGGGTCTCTCTGGACCGCAGGCTGACGCTCTAACCGCTGAGCCAAACTAGTCAGGGCTAGTATAATTTTTTAATGTCTTTTTTTCCAGCGTTATTGAGGTA